CGGTGCTGCAGGTGAATTACGGGCGCATGTAACCAATTACGCGCACAATTACGGGTGAAGACCCAGTGATTACGGGTGCATATTACGCGGTGCTGCAGGTGAATTACGGGCGCATGTAACCAATTACGCGCACAATTACGGGTGAAGACCCAGTGATTACGGGTGGATATTACACGGTGCTGCAGGTGAATTACGGGCGCATGTAACCAATTACCCGCACAGTTATGGGTGAATACCCAGTGATTACGGGTGGATATTATGCAGTGCTGCAGGTGAATTACGGGCGCATGTAACCAATTACGCGCACAATTACGGGTGAATACCCAGTGATTACGGGTGGATATTACGGGGTGCTGCAAGTGAATTACGGGCGCATGTAGCCGATTACCCGCACAATTATGGGTGAAGACCCAGTGATTACGGGTGGATATTACGCGGTGCTGCAGGTGAATTACGGGTGCATGTAACCAATTACATGTACAATTACGGATGAAGACCCTGTTATCACGGGTTACACGGGCAGATATTACTCTGTGACGTGACGCTTACTGCGTGTTAAATTAACGATTGGTGAATACTGCGGCAAGCCTCAAGATGGACGCGAACCCCTTGTCAAAGTAGCCTAAGTCTCAGTATGCTTGTGGACCAAGGCGCTTTGGACTCACAACGCCAACCAGCCAGCCGGACAGCCTGATGCGTTTATCCCAACCATCGTCCTCGAAAACAGCGTTCATGTCAACCCCCATACAGCAAGTGCTCGCCAAGAAGTCTCACCACCATTTGCAGAGTTCGTGCCTACTGCTTACTCCTACGGATGAAACCCCCGATGCATGACATGTACCGGCACCTATTGGGATTGGTCTGTCCCATCCTGCCTGGGGCCGACCTGGTGTGTGCACCCCCAAGCGCTCATCACTGCTGCCATGTTACTGCTCGCTTCCACCACTGCCGCTGCTGCCCCTGCCACTGTTGCTGCTGCTAGCTTCGCTATATTTGCCCGTGTCCTCCGAGCTGGACTCCTCCCCAGCGCCAGCGGCTAGGACCTCTTCCTCACCAGCGTCCGACCCACCCTCCGAGCTACCCTCCTCTGTCCGCCCCCTCCGCCCTCCCTTGCCTGCGCCGCCCTTCTCCGCACCTCTGGCGGTCCCCTTGCTTGCACCCCTGCCCCGGCCTGCGCCCTTGTTCCCCTTCTGCCGTTTATTTCCAACCTTGAGCCCCGACCTCGCACCCAGGTCGTCGTCATCACCGCCACCCCGCCTGTGCTTGCCAGCTTCGCCCTTAGCTGCTCTTGGCACCTCGCCGACCCACTCCTTGAACGCATCGTAGTTGGTGGTATCTTCGTCCTGTGGGGGGGGGCGGCAACACCCAGTGCTTACGTTCAAGGTAAAATATCAGGGTAAGACCCAACAAGCTGCCCTGACGTTGAACGTTGACATAACCCATCAGCACCCCTCGACCTTGTTCAACATGCTCCCCAGGTTCCAAAAGGGTTACAAGGCGGCCCTGGTTGCAAGCAGTCCGGAAACGAGCAAACACTCCTCACCTCAATCGCATCGTTCTCTCCAGACACCCATGCCTCCTCGGCTCCACCGCCTGTGTTGCTCTCCACGCGCCCTGTCCCGCGCCCAGTTCTCCCGCCGCTGCTGCGTCCACGCCCTCGACCACCGCGCGTGCCAGCGGCGGTTCCGGATCGCCCACGGCCGCGCGTGCCGCCAGCGGCACCTGTGACCTCGACTGGGGCCTGGGCCGTTGCCATGCCTGCATCCCCACCGGTCCCTACGGTGGCAGGGCTGCGCACAGCGCCGGTCCCGCCACCCCTGGGATGCATGGCCTGGGCAGTTTCAGCTGCTAGGTTTGCTACCTGGGCAACACCCGCCTCGCCCTGCCTGGGGCCCGCGCCGGTGTTCCCCCCTGCGGTTGCTGCTGCTGCGACGCCTGCTGTGCGGCCGCCGCCTGTGCCGCCATCCACGGCATGTGCGCCCATGGCAGCGGCCTCTCCACCACCCCGCCTTGGCAACTTAAAAATAAGCATGTTTACAAATTTTCTTGGCCGGTAATTACATGTGAAGACCACGTGATTACGGGTAAACATGAATTTACGGGTGAAAACCTTTCCCAGAGTGTATATGTGAGGTTATCCCCAAGGATGAACAAAGTTACCCGCGGGGCCGACCATGCATCCCTATAATAGGGTACCATGCGTCCCTGGAATTTATTTGCCCGTGGCCACTACCCGGTGAAACACTGCCTTTCCCCAGTATTTCGGGGCGCCCTCATCTAGTCACCCTCGCGGACTTCTCCGAATCCAGTAGATTGCTCAGGTTCAGCACCCACCACCGGCATCCAACTTAATCTGCTGGTTCAACGGCGGCTCAAACCCATACCTGGGCAGCTCGCAGGTCCACTTTATCCCAGGTTACCACCGTCCATTGACTAGGGCACTCTCACCTTCTACACAATTGGAAGAATTTTTGACCCTGACCGGTCTTGATCCCGGTATATGTATAGATTGCACCCTGGTATATTAGATACAGGCAGTCTCGATAGTACGCAGTGCTCTATAGAGCTACATAGGTCCAAAACTGCTCCCCGCCACTTCACCCTTATAATCGATGGGTCATCGCGATGGGTTTCGACGAATTAGCCCGTCCTTGCTTGCCATTACATATGTAAGATGCACCCTATATGCGGTTAACAAGTAACACAGCGCTTATAATGCGAGCTTGCGTAAGTAAGCTGGGTTAGTTGGGCGTAAGGCCCAATGCGTAACTGTTAGACTAACTGTTTCGCAACGGCCCGTGTCCTCAGGGCCGTCATTTATTGCGCGCATTAAGCTGGTTAGCTTATCTTGTTTTTGTTGTTCAGCGCGCGCTGATCAACAAAACAGGTCCCGCGCCTTCGGCGCGCTTTCTGTTACTACACCGCTGTGCCTTCGGCTCGTCAGCGAGACCCATCGGGTAGAGTGCAGTGGAGAATATATAGCACTAGCACCATAGAGTTAGCCCACCTTATTGAAGCACCTTTAGTAGTGCTAGTGGCGGCGCATGTCCCGGTATCGCTAGGCATGACTCCGCTGGTGGAGGCAACTCACAGCTATCCTACATAGCTAACTGGAATGTCACAGACTGGCATTTCCTCGAGGGCTTCTGCGACGCAGTTTATGCCCCCTGCTTTCTCCGGAGCGGATCAACAACTCCCGCCCACCCCGGACCCAAC